CATAGTGGTTTTTTTTTTTTAATTTTGAGCCAGTTTTGCAATAATGCATTTCTAATTAGATGTTTTTGAAAGTATTTGTGTATTTTATTTTTATCCTCCCATAGGAATGTATGCCAACCTGCTTGCAGATCATGGCCTTCTAAGGTCAAGATTCTTTTATTCTTTAACTCTATCCAGTCCTTCACCCATGTTATTGTTACTGCTAGTGTGTATAACTCCCAGTTTGGTAATGCTAAGCCTCCTCTTTCCTTGCTATCTTGGATTGACTTTAGTTTAATCCTCGCTTTTCGGTATGACAGATACTTCTAAAATACCAGTGTGGCTGGTGTTTTCTGACGTTGGCTATGGAAGATCTCCAGTTGTGACTATTGTGGAGAGGTAGCTGCAGATTAGCTAGTAAATGCACTAAGCTTTTAAAGATATTAAATTTTCAATTATCAGAATGATAATGCAACATGGCAGATGGAGATTTTCTCATTCTTAGAGTTTTCTATTGTTGTTGCAAGAGGGTTTTTGAAAATAACCCTTGACAAGCTTACTTTAAGACTTACGCTATATCTATATCTATCTATCTATTCCTTTCTACAAGAAGGAAGCACAGTTTCTTTGGTGTAGATAAGCTATACCTTTTTGCCTAGGTAGCTGATGTAAATATTTGTTTTTTGTTTAGGTTAAGATCTTCTGGGGGTTTTTTCCTTCTCTTTCTCATTTTTTACTATTCTAAACAACTAGATCATTGCAATATTTTATCTGGAGGTTGTCCAGAATCAGCAGGGAGTAAAAAAATTTGAGACTATGTTACTGAAGAGATCAGAAATGTGTCACATCTATTCTGAAGACATTGCAAAGGATGTAGAAAATTCTTGGAATGACACACAAAATGTATATATTTTAGGACCTAGATACATGATGGAGCATTTGAACTTGGCACCCAGGATTCTGTGAGGGTGCCACATAGTGCAGGAACAAAAAAGGAGGCATTCTTGATGCATAGTTGTGTTATGGAATTCAGTCTCAGTTTAGTTACGGTTGGCATTGAATTTTATTAGCTTTCAGCATAACTATAAGGTGGACTCGTTTATCTGAGTTTTTAAAAATCTCTGCTGTTATCCAACTATTTCACTGGTCCCCAACCTTTGGGGTACCAGGGACCGGTTCTATGGAGAAAGGTTTTTCCACAGACCTGAGAGGGCATGGTTTTGCATTTTGCTTGCATCTCACAAATTGAGTTTCACTTGTTTGCACGACCCGGTTGCTGGCATGTGGCAGCCTGGTGCTTGTCCATGGACCTGGGGTTGGTGACCCCTGATCTATTCCATTTGTTATTAATGTATTAATGTTGTTTTCTGATACAATAACTTTCAAATTATTTTTAACTTATTGCAAATTGTTTTTATTTTTTTTTATTTTTTTTTTTCAATTTAAAATTTTTATTTCATTTTCATTTTCATTTTATACAATCACTTATA